CCAGCCCTTCCGCACCCGCAGTGACTCCCAGGTCCCACACACCGTTCCCATCTGTAATGCTTTCTGATCCCAGCGGTGTGACTCTTGGTCCCTGTCCTGTTGCTAGCATTGTGCCTGTCTTATGTATAATCACATCACCAAAAAAAAGGAAAAAAAAACACAAAGGACTTATTTTTTTTTTTTCCATTTTGTAATCGTAAAGAAATAGTAGCTAAACTGCTTAATGGTTGGGGTTTTCACAATTTTCAACATTATCTAGTGGTTTTGGTTCTGTTCTAGTTTAAAGGATTTGTCATTGTTTCTTTAAAAAAACCAACAATGCTACCATATCCCTCCGCATAAGTGCTTTTCTATTTATAAGGTTGAAAATTCTGAATAACCCTTTTAGCATTATAAAAACCACAAAAAAACCACCTTGTATTTTGTAAATATTTTCTTTTCCTGCTTTGAGCTGTGTAATGTCCTTGTTATATAGAAATGCTTTTCTTCCGAGAAGCTGATCTTTGTTAATGTCTTGATTCTGTTGGCAAAGCACAAATGTGCTTATAAAAAAAAAAAAGAAGAAAATATTAAAAAAAAAAATTAAAACAGAATTTTCTGTGCATTCACGTTTGTGAAGCGATGGGTTGGGAAGTGGAAGGGGCCCTTGCCGCGTGCTCAGCCTAGTCCCAGGCGGATCAGCCACTTCCCTCCCACCCTGCATTTGAACGGCCTCTTTTTTCCCTTGGTAACATTTCGCAGCAGTTCCTGCCTGTGGAAAGAGGAATTGCTCCATGAGGTCTCGGCAGTTGGGAGCAGGACCGGGGCTTGGGAGAGCGCAAGAACGGAGCTCCAAGTGCCCAGGGCAGGCGACGGTTTCATTTCACATTTCCAGGGTTAGGCGGCTGCCGCCAATTCGCACCCAGGTGCCGTCTGTGCAAATCGTTTGCCCTCGTGACAGGTTTTGCTGTGGAAGTCGAAGGCGTTTGAGAGCGGCAGGAGGTGACTTCCTTGGGTGTTCCTCAATTTTCAGGGTAAGAGAATTACACTTTGTTCCTCATTACCTGAGTGGATGGGAAACAGAAGGTGCTGGGTGATGATTAGCCAGGTGATCAAAGAAGGAGGAGTTGGCAGCCTGGGTATCCCCGGCTTGTGAGCAGTAATTAACAGGGGAGGAAAAGCCCACTCTGAAGGGCAAGGGGTGGCAGCCGTGGCTGCTGCGCTGGAAACTCCGGACCTGCACAAGGGAGCCGAGTCCCAGGGATGGCACGGAGCAAAGGGCTCGTGGTGCTGCGTTGTGGCCACCAAAGTGCCAGCACCTGGGGGACCTTGGGCTGCGGGAGCGGCCAAACTTTGGCTTCCTGGCTGCGGGGCCCCAGCACTGCCCACGGGGCGCGGCCTCCCCTCCCTGCACCCCGCTTTGCCGCAGCAGAGCTGCAGGGAAGGGGAGCTGGCGAAGCTGCAGCCTGGGCTGCAAGAAAAAACCCAACGCGTCCCTGCCCACCTTCATGGCTCCTGGGCTGCTGTTCCTACAGCCCCAGGGTTGGGGCATGGCTGCCGTCCCACGGGAAGGACCCGTGGTGTGGCCAAAACCCAGCCTGAGCGCTGGAGAACCCCATGTGGGCCTGGTCCCAGCTCCCGCCGGCTCCCCAGGCCTCCCCGCCCCCCCCCCTCCGTGTGCGCAGGCGGGGTTTGTCGTATTAATGACTTTATTTCCAAATTCACTTTTACGGCAACAGTGTAAACCAGTTGTTAAACGCACACTACACGATGGACATTCACAGACAGAAGCTAAGCTAGGATGATACACTGAGATCAAACCTTCCCTCCCCGCCCCCGGGCCCCCCAGGGAACACGGGGCTGCCAGCGCCACCGGCAGGCTGACACGAAGGTCATTTAACAGCCATTTTTTTGAGTGCAGAAACACTTTCTGTGGGTAGTTTTTTTGAATCGGTGCCGGTTTTAACCCTTTTCAGACCAAGCTGTGTGTGGAGTAAAGCAAAAGCCACGGGGCTGTGGGGCAGCTGCTCCTGGTAGCCCTCAGGCCTGGGTCTGAATGCGGGGTCAGGGCTGGGGACGTGGCTCTGGCTGCTGGAAGGGGACAGCAGGAGACGTGGAGGATGGAAAGGGCTGGCCTGGGACGCTGGCAGCCCCTGTGGGGGGAGGAGGGTGTGAGGAGGATGGCGGCCGGGGCTGGGGGGGTGTGCTCAGCCGAGGACCCTTGCAGCAGCAAGGGGCTGCCCCCTGGAGCTCACCGCACAGTAAGGCTGCCCCGGCCCCGGGCATTGGTGTCCCCCAGGCGCTGTACGGGAACTGGGGGGGCACAGGCCAGGGACGAGCAAGCTCAGTCATGCTCCATCCTGCAGCCAAAAAAGGGTTACAAGGGGTGACTGGTGCGTGGTGGTTCTCCCACTTGCTTGTTTTACAGAGGACAAAGAAGTACGGCAGGGGGTCCCCCCCCCCCCAACCCCGCG